GAGGGGTAACAAAAGATATAATACAATACATAAACATGCAGAACTTGTCTGACAACCAGCACCTAAACCAAATGAATGATCCTAAGATTTTTTTCCCTTTGTAAGCAAACAATTGATGGCAATATGACAAAAATGCAGAAGAAGAAAGAAACAGCTGAGACAAGAAAGGGAAATTCTGACATATTGAAATTGTGTACATTTGCAAAATGGGGAAGTTGCATTGCTTAAAATAATTTACCACAGAAACCTTGTAGAATAGAGATTTAAAGAATACGCCTACAACACATAATGAGTCAAAGGATAAAATGAGTTTATTTACAACACAGTGAAAATGCTAGCAAAAAGTTTAATAAATGGCTTAATGTCAGCCAGATACAGTCAAAAACAGCTGTTAAACAGCATTGGGATGAGCTGCTTTTTAAGAAATACGTAAAGGGTTAAAACACAGTGTAATTATTTTGGATGCAGAACAACTTAAAACAAATTGACAATATTTGTTAGCGGATGACACTTAGCAGCTACAGTGTTTACATTTATATTCTGTTGTCTGATTTTTCTTTCTTCATTGAACAAATTATTTCCTTCCTTCATTTTCTCCTCCCATTTTTCTTAGTTGAGTTGAGTTAAGGAGGTGTGTGTCTAACTTGTTGCCCGGTCAACAGAAACACTAAACTTCAGAAAAACGTTGTTCATCCAGAGTTACACAATCCAGTAAACTCCAACTGTAACTGGTTATGGACTGAAGCTATACTGCTTATTCATCATCAGTAACAGACATGGGGTTGTCATAGGCTGATTTTTCAAGGTCGCCTGCTTGTTTCCTGCGCATCTCTGGAGGAGGTCTTGGTGGTGGATTCTGAGGAGGATTCTTGATGCTCTGTGCAACTGGTTTTCGGGTCTCCTTCCGTGGAAGAATGGGCTCCCAATGCTCGCCTCGTATAGCGGCCTACAAAGCAAGAAGATGACAAATCAACAATGACTGGCTTGTGGATGATTAAGTTAAGCATGACTGAAAGTTACTGTTCAAGCCTGAAAATTAGGAAGATTATTATTACTGGTCCTTTTCTTTGACACTCACAGTAGTTTAGAAAATATAAAAATAAACAGTGCAACCTCGAAAGCTTCCACAGAGATCCACAGAGGTGTTGAGGAATTCAGTCACACCCCTAACTGTTCAGATTTCATAACTACATCTTTCAACAGAGGTGCCAGTAACGAAACAACCTCTTCCTTGTTGCTATTTCCTTGTTTCCACTAACTGGCCAGTTCCTGCTTCAGTTAACAACTTTATCAAAAAGTTATTTAACTTACTGGATAAAAGAAAAATAAATGGGTTAAAAGCTGCAAACTTACTGCAAGGTAGATGAGGCTGGCAATGCCAAGGCAGACACATCCGAGAACAGTGGCAAGCATAAAACCTCCAGGTACACAGATGCTGAGGGAAAAAAACAAAAACAAAGGAATTTGACGACAAAAGACAAAATAAACCAAGTCATAATTCTTGACTAATCGACAGTGATAGAAAGCTGTTTGGCAAAGATAGCAGCTGAGATAAGGAACTCACGCAGCATGTAAGAATGCCCTGACATAGTAGTTCCTGGTCAGTGGTCCAAAGGCTTTTACGCACACAGTGAAGCAGTACTGGCCCCTGAGAGAAATTAGGACACAACCATGAGCAACTTAGAACTTGTCCATTAAAGTCCATCACACATCCAAATGAATAGTGTTTGCTTACGTTCTCTCCACACTCGTGCCCTTGGCCCTCTTGCTTCTGGGATACTCAAGTAGACACACAAACACCCCAGCAGCACTAGTTATCTGTCAAGGTGTTTTCTTTAAAATAATGTTCTTTATTTACATGCAAAGTGTCACACAGACATAAAAACAGAAACAATATATCATCATCAGTAAACACAGTGCACTAAGTCAACAGGACCAAAAGAAGTAAGATAAGAATGCTCACTGAGATAAGTCTGAGAAGTGAAATTGAGATAAACACTGGTGACGCTGAGCGGTTCAGCAGGCAAAGACAATAATGAATGAGAGCATTGTTTCTAATACAAAAGAGAATATGTCCATTATTTCATAAGAATAGCTACAACATGGGAAAAGAAAGTACTTTCCCATGTTGTATTTTTGCCATTAATGAATAAAAAGAAATAATGTTCTTGCATGTCAGTGTGAACATTGTTAAGCACAGCATCGGTTAAATCCATAATACTAGAACATTTGGTCAGGTTTGATGTTAACTTGCTGCATAATTGTGCTTAACATACTGTGTGATGCATCATATACATTTGACAGTTATTGTATTAATAACACTCATTCAACTGCTTGTCAATAAAAACACCAATTCAGTCACTAATGAGGCCGGAACAAAATGCCTTTTGACATATATTAATAACTTTAAATAAGCCTTAGAGAGAAAGAAATTTCACCCACTGAGCTGCGAAAACACTTCCTGATGGAAAAGATAGGAGAGGAATGGCTGCACTGATTGAGCAACAATGCAATAGAAACTAAAATGACATGTTGTGCAGAGAAGGATCTCTGAGCACAAAATCTGTCAAAAAAAAAGCAAATGGTCATCAGCAGCTTTAGACCACACGGGCTTCAATTTGTGCAGCTAAGAAAAGTAAACAGAGCACACAGTGGGCCCATGAGTGGACATGCATGGCTGGAAAAAACATATTGCCTGGTTGATTGGCGATGACTCTCTTTCTGCAGCATTTAGATGGTGGGGTCAAAATTTGGCACATCATTTAACGAATCGTTACTGTTTTAGTATAATTTGAATGTAACAGCAGAGTATTGTTGATGAGCATATGTGTCCCTGCATGGCTACAGTGTAATTGCTCATTTCACTTGGGCAGTGCACTACGCAGTCTCAGACTGGTTTCTTGAACTTAAAATGGCCTCCACAATCACCACACCTCAATCCAACAGAGCCTGTTTAAGATGTAGTGGAGGACAGATGAATCACATCATCTGTTCTATCACGTCAATACAGACCAGAAAGCTAAAGGCTCTAGTATTAGCTGTGTAGCCTATAATGTATTTATTTGTTATAAGTATGTCAGCTTCCTGTATGCAAACTGTAGCCTGAATACATACTTTATATCAGTTCTAATCGAGAGATTTTTGTGGCGTAAATAACATCTGTACTTTATTTTAAGTTATTTAGCATATTGTTATTTCTACAACACAGAAAAAGCTTAATAAGCCAAAAATCCAGACACAATTAAAAAATACAACTGAAAACAAAGGATACACTGCATAAGCAGCAAACTGCCACCCTCTGAACTGTCCAGCAACGCCTACGATTCCTCCTGTGAGGAGAACTGAAAGAAGAAAACAGGAAGATAAGATTAAAATTATACACTCCAGCAGACTGCACAAACAAAGAGATGGTAAACTGTGCTTTATTATGTTGTCAGAAACACTCTGTAAATGAACTAGACAAGAGGCTAAAAGTATAATTCCCTTTGAAAATATTCTGTTTGAATTAAACCGCTCATGTAACCGAATAAGACAAGAAACACGCTAAATACCGCCCCCCCCCCCCCTCCTTTCCCTCCATAATAATAAAGTTTTCATACTCACTTAGACCCGACGCCAAAGCCTGCTCATTAGCCCACATCGCCCACTCAATCTTCCCCATTATGTTAACCTAACAGCACCTCTGCAACCTCCTGGAGCTCCTCCGGCGTGGATTACCGACGGTGATAATAGTTTCTACAAGGAAGAAAATGTATTTACGAGATTTGAGGGGTGCAGGAGGGCAGGTCAGAGGGCGAGGCTTGTTCTGCCTTAGCCAATCTCCGTTTCAAGCGTCATGTCCGAAAAAAATGCAGCGCTACAGCGGAAGAGGAAGAACCGAAAACTCCTGGCAGGTAACACAAGGAAAAGAAAGACCGGCTTTATCCCAAGATATTCACACTGTGATTGTTGACTGTGGCGGTGATTGTTAGGTTACCGGAATTTGTAAAAGTTTTGTTTTTTTCCTTATCTATTATTTGCTGTCCTTTTTGCTGCGTCTGTACCAGAATTATGAGTCAATCTTTTAAAGTTCTGAGATTGAATAGAGAATTATTTTTTCATCTGGATGAGAATCGGATGATGACAAAAATCACAAACAACAAATGAAATCTTGACCAAAATATATTTTATTGTGTGCCATTGACATTGAATTGACATGAATTAAATATGCACTGTTGATCGGAAATGGTGATTAACAAGAAGAAACAAAAAACTGTACAGACAATGATTTGATCAGACAGGTCAGAGAACAATGGGTCAGCTCCAGTCTCCGGTCCGATCTGTATTTATGACTCAGTGCATTGCTCACTGCAAGAGTTTCCACTTATTTACTACCCGTGTCAAGGCAGTATCAGTGTTTATCTACCTACAGACACACAGAAATGATTAAAGCTATGAAAGAACACAAAGGAGTAATGATGATATGAAAAGAGACCAAACAGGACAGTTTAATATTTAAAGGGAGACGTATCATCTTCCGCTCTTGTGAGGAAGGTGTCTGGTATTGCTGCGATAAAAGTTGTATGCAACTAAGTCACATTGGCTTTCCTGTTGCTCAGTAGAACTCGCTCCTTTAGGGCTGCAGGAGGAAATCACATTGTTTTCTTGGGAAAACCATCAGATAAAAGCAGGTGCTGAGTAGGATCCTCTACAACACGCGGGCCTGGTCCAGCCTTGAAGACAATACAAGAAGATGAAACAACAGATTAATTATGTGTGTCTGAGTGTTCACAGCTTCAAAATTATACAATTATTCTTTCCACTTGGAAACGTTAGCTTTTCAAATGAAGCACTCACTGGTCAAAGGTTCAGATAACTGTCATGGTCTTTCAGTGCCCTAGTTAAATGGACCAATGCAAGACAATGTTTCATAACAGCATGTTGAAAGGTATTGCATAGACACATCTGAACCTTCTTGCAATCCTACAGCAGACACATCACTGCAGTTTTGTGCAGCATAGATGGATCATTTAAATCTAAAACCTCTGTATCTTTCAGCTGCTGTTTAAAGTAAGCCTATAATACAAAGTTGGAGTAATTGCTTGTGTGGATAAATATGAGTGAATACCTTAGTACTAATTATGTAGTTTATTCCCTTTGGCATGGGTTCCAGACCAATACCTTGCTTCAGCTCCTCAGAAAGAGAAGCACAGTTGACTGGAAGACCCTTAATAAAGCTGCAGAGAGGAAAGAAGCACTCAGTGACACATTTTAAAAAGGACTGAAGGCCAATACACCTTAATAAGCAAAAGTACAAGTCTACCATTTGTTCTAAAACATTATTCAACATTAAGATGCAACATTAAGTCCTCTGTGGAAGTCCATTTAGCAGCATTTGCAGGTTCAGATCTTCATAGACATTTCAGATTTATTCTTCTAGGCAGGTTTTTTCTAGCTCAGGCTATTTCTGTGTTTTCAGGTTGTGTGCAATTTGAAGCAGGTTATCTTCATGTTCCCTTTCTGAAATCTTTACATCCCTGCGTCTTCATGTCCCTTCTGTGGAGAAAGACCCCAATAGTATGCAAGCATCCTGATTCACTTGCCTTCAGCAAGATAATAAGCAGTGCCTGGTATTAGTCAGAAATAGTGGTCTGCTCAGGGAGTTAAGTGTGTGCATCATTTGACCAGTAAGTTGGCTGTCTTTCCAACAGGTTTTCACAACAACTTGAGGACCTCTGAGGTTCAGTCAGAGCAGACCTTTCTTGCTTGATCACTTATTTTGGTTGGATGGCAAGGTAACTTCTGGTAAATATCTTCTAGAGATGTTAATCTACTGAGTACAATGCACTTTTGGGAACACTCAAAACCTCAGAAATGGTGCTCTTGACCAGTTTTGTGGGCAGTTTTTATAGAGTTTCCTGGACTTTGGGCCTTAATACAATATGATTTGTTAGACTTTCTTTACAGGCACATGCCTTGGTAACCTGTGCTCAAATCGTTTAGGTTTCCACAGTTATGTTGTAGACACGTGTCAAAAATAATTAAAGCAAACAGGATGCACCTGATCAAAATGTTGAATGCAACAGCAAAGGGTTTAAACACCTTGGTAAGAACTGATTTCAGTTCTTGATTTTTAACAAACCAAAACAAGTTTCACTTTCACAAATTTCAGAGTAGGTTAATGGGCAAAAGGTCTGCTTTATCAGCTTTAGATTACACAAAAAGACCTAATACTTTCCACTGTATATATCTATATATATGCATTTAAATGTTGATTTTTCAGGATTAATTAATTGCTATAGACGGATTTTAAAGGGAATGAGCTTAACATCCTTCCACTTACTCTGCTCCGTTGGTTTCTGGGGGAAAGAAATATTGAACCATGTGCACAAACTCAGGAACGTGCTGCTGTAAAGTGAAGATCACAGCATTGGGCCCTGCATCAAAAGTGTAGGCTACCTATAAAGATAATAAACAGGATGTGACTATTGCAGAAAAAATGAGATTTTCCTGTCTCCAGTTTAAAACCATCACACATCTTTCACATCTTCTTTACGGCATCATAAAAAAATGCATTATTTTAACACATGAGGAAATTAAGTTTTCTTTATTTCATTGGTATGGTGTTGAGTGATGGACTGGCAACATGTCCACTGTTAAACTAAACTCTCGCCCTATATCAGCTGGGACAGGCACCTGTGACCCCAAGTTGGATGAGTGATTAAGAAAAATCAATTTCATGGACAAACAATAAAATAAAATGTAAATAAGGGAATGGAAATACAAATATGTATAAATAAATAAAGTCCAGTGCCCAGATATTTCTCCCATAATGTCACTGTAAAAGCTGCTCACCCTCGTCTCCCCGTAATGCTTGTTGTAACGATGGACCAAACTGATGATCTGCTGCGAAACATGATTGAGGTAGAAGATAGGGGGGCACGTGTCGAGGCAGGTGGCATGAAACTGGTTACTATCCTTCATGGTTAGTTCAGCAAATGCTGCAAAGTCCTTTTTTCGTATTGCTTCAGTCATCTCTACCATCCGGCCTGGGACAACAGATTCAGCGCGGTGCTAACACAGGCACACACACGGACACAGGTATGACAGTCAGACATGTGTTGTATTAGTGAGCTGGGTTTAAATAAAGTGCCAATCAATATACATTAAAATTCTGACATTTGCAGTATAAGGTGAACACACCTTTAATAGGCAGCTTGTTTTTACACTGGTTTGCATTCCAGAGGTGCTGCCAACTGGCTTCCGCTCTGCACTGGCCTGTGACAGAAGTGCATCAAATTGATGTAACTTTTGCATTCCTGCATTTGTAAAAGCGCAAATTCATCAGTATTATTTTCACTTATTTAGTGTCACTCTTCTATACCCACAATCAGACCTACCACTAGTACGAGGATTCTGAGCTCAGGCCAGTGAGTCTCTGGCTCCACCTGCTGGGCTAAACTGTCCTTCCCATCCTCTTTGTTTCCCATGATCCACTGGACGAAACCTCCATACATGCTCCGGCATGCGCTGCCAGAGCCTTGACGAGCAATCCCAGACAACTCTCCTTCTACTCCAAACACCCGAGCCAGAGAGTAAACTGTGCCACAGAACAGTCAAAAAAAACAAAGACACTGGGACTAAGTGAAGCAATATCAACTATAAGAAAGATGGAGAAGGAGATGTTAGCAAAAGTGAATTATAGCACAGACAAGCTCACCCAGGCAAGCAAATCCAGCTGCTGAAGAGGCGAGTCCAGCAGCAGTGGGGAAGTTGTTAACTGAGCAAATGTGGACTTTGTGTGACAAACTAGCTGAATCCACGCCAGAGTCTCCATCATTACGCCTCTTCCGTGCCAATCGTCGAACTAAACATAAAGAAAAAAGAAAGAAAACTACATTGTAATATGCACTCCTTTCTGTCTGCTCTATGATTTTACAAATATAATGCACAACACTCACTCTCTCTCAGACAGGACTGCAGTCTGGGATGGGTTATGTCCTCCTCTTTACCGTTGAGCCATATTCGATCCTCCTGAAATGATCTGCTGGTTGCAACTGTAGTGGTTGTTTTCAGCTAAGCAGAAGAAGAAAGGAAGGTACGTCGGTATCAAGCTGCATTTACAGTGGTGTGCAAAAATCTTGAACCATCCCTCATTTTTTTCTATTATGTTTCCAAGAACCAGACCTTTTTGTAGTTTTTTAAGAGTGCTCGAGAGCAATAGTTCTCCAGGCATTCTGAAGTTCTTTCAAAGTTTTACTTTGGACATTGGATGCTTTTATACACATTTTTAGTCCAGTCCTTGTACCTAACCACTTATAGAGGGATCTGTTTTTGTTTATTAAGCCACTTAAAACTGATTTATCAATCACTCAAGCATAAAAAGGCACCTGACTCAAGGGATGAACCAGTGTTATGTCCATACATAACAGACCAATTAGCCAAACCAATTTTAAATTGTATCTTTAAGAACTTTGTTACTTCAGCCATTCCAAAACATTTCGTGATTTCTTTAGGTAAAGCTACATAAAATATAAAAATGTATTTTTGCACCATTAAGATGATTCCCAAAGCGTTATTTGCCAAAAGCATATCTCATCATGGGTGTGCAGTGTGTTCTTCAAAAAGGACCAAAGAACTGACAGATCTTTACAGAGAACAGAACAAAAAAGCAGCAAACATGCAAAGAAGAGCAAAAGAGAAACTAGAGAAATAATGGTGCTGTATGTAGTAGTGTATGTTATTACTAATATAACATAATATCCAATTTGAAGCCCGGAGACATGTGAAAAGCACAAAACACAGTGTATGTCTGAGTATCCCAGTTTCAAGGGACAGTGCAAAAGTGATGCCAATCGTCTGTAATCTGAGTAACAGAGAATTTCTTCCAGATTGTCACAATACTTTCCCCCCCAATATTCATTTAGTAGAATATCTAATAGACGTGAACAGGTAAAGTTTAATATAACTGTGTTCACACTGCAAATACTAAAACAGCAGATAAATATTTAAAGTTTGTCTGGCAATCCTAATTGAGACTAACAGTAATGTTATGACATAATATTCTCTTAACAGTCTATTTTATAGAGACTTTGGCTCCATTCAGTGAACTCTTACTGCCACAGCAGCAGTTTATTCTGCAGCTCTCGACAGGGAAACACGACGAAATGAGAAAACATAGAGAAAGAGTGTGTGTTTTTTTTACAGACACAGGCTTCGTGAGGATTTCGTTTTAATTAACATACCTGGTCTTGATGCAATGTGACGCTCAACGATGAGTTAATGGGTAGAATTAAGTCTTCATTTCTCTTGCCCCCTGAAAAGTAAGAAGGCTTTAACACGGAGTCCTCAACCGAGGTGTCATCAGCCTGATATTAGGATAAAATATAAATAGACTCGAGAGTAATTCAGACCTTTAATAGCCAATATTCAGTCAGACATTAACACACAGGCACTGTCGATTCAGTTTTACTTGAGTCCAAATGATACAACCGTAACAAAACAATGCTAACTCAAACACAAGTCCAGGTGATACTTACAGTATTTAATGACAGCTATATTCACTGGAGCGGTACATGTAACTATATGTGGCTGCTCAGTTCTGTCCTCCGGCATGGCTCTGCATATACACTAATAAAAAGACTACCTGAATGTTTTTTAAAACACACTGTACAACCCTCTCCCCGAGTTTAGCACTCTCAGCGTGGCTGCCTGCACCTTACTGTAGCGTTTCCTAGCAGACTCACCGGATTGGTTAGTGATGAACATGTGACTAACCCGAGCACCAATCAGAGTCGGGCTGAGTGTACTGAACTCTAAATAGCCAATGAGAAACCATCTGACCACGGTCGTGTGAAAATGAGGCAAGCGTAAGACCAACCCAGACCCCTGTCGTCGGTGTTAGGGTTTATTTAAGTCAACGCAATTTTGAATTATAAACGCAATATGAATTAAAAATCTTAATAAGTGCTCAGGCAGGAAATGACTATTGTGAATTAGAGATAAGCTGCAGGATTTAGTGCTGAAAAGGTACTCAGTTATTGTATTTGACATGTAATGAACAACTGAGGTACATTAAATGCTTTCTTATACTGTACATCATTATTGGTACTGACACCAATAAAAACAGTTCTGTCAGTTTGGTGACTACAGTGATTTCGGACAGACTTTTATAGAGATAATAAAGTATATTAATATAAAACACATTTCCTCATCTTGCATTTTATTTCAAAAGTTGTTGGATACATTTGGCAGTCTGTTAACTCCTGCTTCTGAATTGAATGTCAAAATGTGAACTTATTTATAAAGCAAAAAGTCCAGAGTCAATTATCCACCTCCATAGACTGACAGTCTACCTTTGTATGGTGGGGACGTTACTGTGTATTGATGTTGTGATATTTGATGTTCAAGTCAGTGGAATACAATTTGTGTTTAATTCTAAATGGAAACTTAAAAAAAAAAAGATTTAACACTCATTTAAATGGTGAAGGACAAATTTAGAAACAGTCCACTAACAAGGAAAAACATTTCAATTTAAGGCTCATTTAATTATATGTGAACCCTCAAGGTACACATCAGCAACAAGAATCCTAGAATAACAGCTAATGGGATAGTAGCCTAGATGGCAATTAAAGAGTAGACCCACATAAAATGCATTAACATCAGTATCATCTGCATTTTAACTAGTTTCTAATGTTTGAAGAAAATGCATGAACCGTGGTGAAAATAAAGGAAACTACTGAGATGGACTAGGAGAGTCAAACAGTGCCATGAGCTGTCAGATAAGCAGTAAAAATTTGTAGCATCTAGATTGAAGAGTTTACAAAATAAAATGTTAATTGACATTGTGTTCAACAATCCCACCAAATGCTGCAATATCAAAGTCCTTGTTTTCCCATCTTGGTTGGTAGTTTCCAAAGACACACAGAAGCTAGTGTGGCATCTCAGGGTTCAGCTAACAGGAACACACTAGTCAGCGATCCTGTCAGAGTCCCAGCAAAGCATGTCAACTGCTCTGATTTGGTTGCTCATTCCAGAGCTCCTGTTGAAAGTTAATAGTCGTCCTCATCATCCGAGTCCATCACCCTCCGTCTGTTGAACTGTCAAGTAGAGTGTATTAGAAATGTAATACATATAAATTACAGGAAAAAAAATCAAATGTATGTGACATTTCAGAGAAACTTACTGTAACGGTTGTCTTTTTTTCTGTTTGTTGACTGACTTTTTCTAGGATCTCGATCAAGCCTGATTCTGTAATCTGACAAAAGTGGAAATGAGTTTATTCAATATGTTTTGCTAGAAGCATTCAAAGTTAAAGTCATTTGAGGAAAAAAAAAAAAGAGTTTTGAGAGGAATGCATAGTGAAAAACTACATACACTCTTGCTGCTTAAATGAACTTAAATGATCGTCAGTCGTGTGACCACCTCTGAAAGCAGAGGTTTGGCACTTTGCTGGCACCATGCAGGCACCTTGCAGTTGAGTTAACTGCAAACTCCACTGTACACGGAAATATTATAGTGCTAAATCTGCCTGACAACTACAGCTTGGCTGAAGGTGGTTTTACAAGATACTGAATGGTGGGGTGTATTTAGTTTTTCATAGGATCGCAGAGAGTGCTGTGAAAACTTTTCCCCATGTCTGTACTTTCTTACCTTTCCTCCCAGCTTTCCAAAACGAGCCATTTGAATGAGATAGTTTTCAACTGCATTTGCCTTTTCTGGCTTCACCAAGGCAAGATTGCTCACTAAAAAATAAAATACAATGAGACAGCACTATTAATTTCGAAAGAGGAGTTTTATTAGGATGAAGGATATACAGTATATGAAACCACACTTACATCTCGCACGGGCAGACTGGTCTAGAACTTGAGCCAATATGGAGTTCCTCATATCTGTTTCTCTGTAATTAGAAAACAATTACATTGGTCAACTGAGACCAACTAAAAGAAAACAAAAAGATACTGCATTTATATAGAAGTTAAGCAGTAAGAATACCAGGTTGGTCAGCTACACTGAGAGTTTAGATATTAAATATATGTCAAAAACTTTCAGTGCTGGCTCACAGCGGCTCATCTAATTGTTGGGGTTTCTCCGTATTAATGTAATGGGTCTATACCTTACAATAATAAGCACCTTGAGGTGACTGTTGTTGTAATTTGGCACTATATGAATAAGACTGAGTTAAATAGGAAAAAATATATTCAACTGAAGGTATATATACACATTTCTGCTGTATGGAAATATTTTGGTTCAGTTACAAAACAAGTGCAATACTTAAGGCATATAACAGTTAGTCTTAAAAAAACAGTCCTTTATGCAAGTACAAGTACTATAAACAGGAAAAATTCAGCTAAAGTAGTTTCTTTTTTGATCAATTACACATCGTACCTTTGTTTGGCCTCCTCTGCTTGCTGATTATTACCTTCCTGGAAGTATACAGGACAGCACCATTAAATACAGATTTTATTTATACATTCAGCTAACTGGTAGACATTTTTATTTTATTCCATCCACCAATCAAACAGTACTTTAATGTTGGTAATGGTGAAAATTTGATAAAGTAACTTATTCGCTGTTATTTTCAGGTCTGACGATACAAGAAGGACCATGAGAGCAATCTCTTCGGTTATGTTTTCAAGTTTCTTCGTTTTGTTTTTAAAAATTCTATATTTTACTTAAACCAGTATAGCAAAGTATACCATAATGGCTTATCTTTAATCGAGTTTGTTAATTTGTTGCTTTGGATATTTTTTTTAATGGTAGGTACTCTATAATGTCCTCTAGACAATGAATTAAAGTCCAGTATGTTCTCTATTTTGTAACAAATAAAGTTAGACTACTGTCAACAAACAAACAAAACTCATATGACAGATTTATATATATAGGCACATTCAGTGAAAAGTTCCAATTACAGTCTTCTTGAGGTAAGTTGGATATCATCAATGAGATTTAAAACCCACCGATCACTGTATTTTTTGAGGTCACAAAAAGACATAAAATAGAAATTTATGAGTGCCAAATATTTTCAAAAACAATGACAGAAACCCAGACACGTGAGGACTCTCTAATCACTGCACTGCATGTGAATTAGTATAAATACTTATTTCTGACATATGGTAATGTATTAGACTACTGACAGTTCACTAAACACGTCAGAAATTGCTGCCGCTTACTCACATGCTGTGCTAATGTCAAAGTTTAGATAAACACACACACACAAATTATCTGTAGAAAGGAGGAAGCATAACGACCACTCCATCAGTAGCAAGTCTAAAAATTTGTTCAATTTTGTTCCAACAAGCCAGCGCTTCGATTTTCAGAGGGGTAAGCGCTGACTGATACAAAGCTAGCACTATGGTGATGTTAACACATCTAGATGAGGAAGCAAATATCATCTGCACCAAACATGAGGCTCATTAAGTTAGCTGTGTATATCCCTTAAGTTAGAGTTAAGTGGTGGTTTGTTTTTGTTTTAGCTACACTAGCTAGCAGTATACTGAACTCAGCATCTCCATATAAGGCGGGTGAAACCATGCTTTCCGGTGCCTATTCGGTTCTTACCCCTTGCTTTGCCTGTAGCTCCGCCATTCTTTGCCGCCTAATCGCCTCTAATTCTTCGTCTGCCATTTTTTATAACCGTAATAGTGACCTAAAAGTCAAAACTGGGATGGTGTATCGCAATAAAATTCCCACTAAACTGCTATCACAGGCTAGGCCCAGCCTAACTGAAGGAAGGATAATCGACGTCAGAAAAACAGATCCGACAGGCTCGATCAATCAATGAGAGAGTCAGGCTCACTCAGTCGTGCACTGTATCATTATGCCTCTGAAGTTATATATTTTATTCTCCCAAGTCTTAATAATAATAATAATGGATTGGATTTATATAGCGCTTTTCAAGGCACCCAAAGCGCTTTACAATGCCACTATTCATTCACATTCACACACTGGTGGAAGCAGCTACGATTGTAGCCACAGCTGCCCTGGGGCAGACTGACAGGAGCGAGGTTGCCATATCGCGCCATCGGCCCCTCTGGCCAACACCAGTAGGCGGTAGGGTAAAGTGTCTTGGCAATCATTATAACATTTTTTCCCAGGAAGTCCGTTTGATTTTTCTCCAAAATATAAGGTTAGGGTAGCGCTGTGGCCAAAGTTACCACCAATAATTACTTATACCTCATAGGGGTAATACTGAAAGAAGGATCTCTAACTGGAAATATGAAAAATCTTAACTTTATCCTACAGCGATTTGTATGGTTCTTGTGATGATATACTCTCAGGTTTCACAGGACCTGGAGGGGTTTCTTGAAGGTTACTGTCTTTTTAAAGGCAGTGCACATGTAACACAATTGATCAATCAATATGTTTCAATTTGTATCACATACAGAAACTGGTGATTTAGACAGATGTATTATTTGATAGTTTAGACGTTACACATCTTAAAATAAAGTACAGCATATATTAATAAGTGTTTTTTATTTGTTTTTTTAAAGAAAGAAAATATGGTATTGTGGCACTATTACAACAAAAAGAATAATTGAAATGGAGTATTGTGCCTTGTCAATATGTCCAATATGTGTGACAGTTCATTCAGTGCCATCATGTGATGTGTCAAACAGCTGACAGGTGGAGTAATCTCAGGAGGTTCCTCTTGCTTGATATCTAGCTCCCTCTGTATGTACTGTAAGAGAAACGACTCAGAAGCAGAGGGATATGGTACTTTTGCCCAGGGTCATTTATGGTGAAGACAATCTTCAAGAAGAAAAACAGAAAGATTACAGAGATAAGATTAATATTCAAGCCCATACAAATGGTTTAAATTGGACACAAATTTACCGATTTAGTCTCAAAAATTGTGATGACACCACAAGTAAATAGTGAGATATCAACAGTTTTAGCATTTCCTCACCTCAACATACGGGTAAAAGCAGGTCTCTCCCATACTCGCCCAATACTGAGCCGTCTCAAAATGCATTTTGTACACACCAGATTTAAATGATTGTTTTGTGATAAGTCCAGGGCAACGTCCATCATCATTAGTGGTCCTGTTCAAAAAGCATAAGATTGAAGAGCTTTGCACAAAGACATCAACTTTTACAGCAGTCTTTGAGATTTTCAACTAATTATAGGTTTCTTGGTGATGCTTTTTTTTTCAGGTTCTTACCCGGTGGTGATTAAATTCCAGGTGTTTGTGGAGGGGTCTTGTTGATAAAGGCTGAGGGCCATATTTGACCCGGGGACACCCACTGCAGTGTTCAGCACATGTGTGGTCAGAGGACTAGGTGATTCTGACATTGCTGTGAGCTACAGACCGAAGACATAGGACTTTAAACAGAGCAGCTTAATATGGAGGAATCACATTAAAATAGTAATATTAAGATGAAACTATATCCACACATTTGCATCTTACAAATGAGATACTGGTGCTGGTGTAGTTTTCTTAAAGCACCAGTGAGTTCTTGCAATGTTAAACTATCTTTGGCACTTTAAAGATTTTAGACAGCAACCACAGCAGAACCCTTGGTTTAAATTTGCCACAAGACTGTGTTCAATAATTAAAAATAGCATATTTTGTTATATTTGATATTGAACTGTTAACTAAAACTAATGTCACCTCAGCCATAAGTTATAGTACATAACAACCTATCGACTATATAATGCTGTTTCACTTTATTTTAAAATCACAAATCTTCAGTTTTATCATGTATTTCTTAAAATGTTACACTTACCTTATTATCAGGCAAAATCTGACTCTTCAGTTGCTGCAGCCTGGAAGCGCTCATGAGCACTGAGGAATAAAAATTCTGGGTTTGCAGCTTTTTACTGAGTAATGTAATTTTATGGTGTATATGTAACAGCTTCAGATCTTTATTACAAAACCCCCACAAAGTTCTGAACACTGTCCTCTTCAGTATGACATTCAGTTCACATGTGCTTATCTTTTTGTCAACAGCACGCTAGTTATGCAAGAGCTCCTTTTGTCACACTTCGTTTTCAGCACTTTGAACTTGGATGATTAAAGTTGCTTCCTCTGGGGCCGAGCAGATTAGCACAGTAAATGGCATTAAAAGTAACAAAGTTGCATTCTCACATCTTCCCCCTGCTTGAATTTCACAAAAGAATATTCACAACATAATTTTATATGAACCACTCAACCTTAACCTCCAGCTTCAAATTCAGCTCCCGGAGTTCAGCATCAGAGTTGTTAAATATAAAGGCTTGTTGATTTTATTGTTGACAGCAGAGCTCTGCTTCACAGTTCATAATGGTGACTTTTTAGCAGTGCTGTTCTTTTTTTCTGATGCTTCCATATCAAACTATATCATCAGGTACATGCTGACATTAGAGCGCAAGACGGCAATGTGGTTAATGTGCATCATCAATCACTAAAAATCACCAGGCTGTCCTATTTGGCTACATTTCATTTCATGTCTTCATCTCATGTTTGTTTATTAATCGTTCATATTATTACTGATGAGAAAAAGAGAGCAAAAGATTTTTACATGTCTTAGTTTTTAGTACCCTTTCAGGTCCTTGTGACCTATGGCCTAAATTAAACTGAAACCTGGCCATTTTCCCCACGTGGCCTCCGTATCTCAGCTCAGTAAAGCTTTCTCTTTCTCTCTTAATTATCTCTCACAGGCTAAGCCAGCTTTCTAAAGAGACAGCTGCTGATGGAAAGGCTGTAGGTGGATTTTTGTTTTTCAAACTCTGACATATATAAAAAAATTAGTCATATTTTGTTTCAGTGTTTTCTGACTCAGCAGAAATTCACAGGCTGCTGGAAAGTCTTATCAAATGTCTGCTTTTGCCTCGGTCTTTCAGAATAAAAACACAACACCACAAATAATGTTTATACTCAATATGAAAATACTTTTACTACAATGACAATGAGTATTTCCACTTGGCAATATCTTAAGAATGCAAACAAAAACATGTAACACCATAGGAATTATAATAATATCATTATTTTCTTTAAAAAAACACACAGAAGTCCTAAAGCAAGATTAAAATTGTACGGCTAAACAATTACAGAAAAGTATACAATAATACACATTATTACACTGACCTGGGTCTTCGCACATCTTAAAGTGTCTAATACATAGAGGAAGAGAGTTATAACATTACTCTAATACACTTAAAGGAGATAAAATACTCTTTCCTTCTGAAAATACTTAATGGGTATAGTATATCATTCATACTCATACCTACAGGTGGAAAACAAACCATTTATCTCCTGAGTGATTATCCAGCTAAATTCTGATATCTGGAAAATATGAGTTAAGGTTTAAAAATGAAAGAGCTGTGTGCAGAGTTTAGAATACTTGAAGTAACACAGAGTTCATTTTCATTATACTGTCCACACAATATTCCAGTTCTAGTGTTAATTTGGAAATAGCGGCATGTTTACATGGTTGAGAAAAACCCATGCTTAATTAATATCTAGTCCTATGTGTTTTGTGCATGATTTACTTCAAGGTCCTTAAGGCCTTTAGACATTTTGTAACACTGAATGATTTTGCTGTTTCCAGGGGGAAAGGAAAAAACCCCAAACAAAATGATGAACCATCTGTAGAAACACTCATATTAACAGTATCTATAAATGATTAATGTGTGTAAAGTCTGACATTAATCTATGTCATCTGTTTTCATAAAAACAAAGAAATAAAAACCCAGAGTGACCCATGCATGGTAAAAAAGTACAATCTGAAGTGAAAAATTAAACTAATGAGGACGTGCTTGAAAACCTGCATACTATCTGATAGACACCAGTGTGGTTGCACAAAGACTTCAGGTCCTTTAGAAGTCCATGGGAAAATGACTTTCTGACTTGACCCCTGTAAACACATTCCTGCTCAGTTTATGGGTTCTGTCACTCATTTTTGGTCACACTGAATTTAAAAAAAGAAATTAGTTTGTTTTATAAACCTGGGTAATACTGTGTTTCAAAATAGAGGCTTATCTGTGGTACGAAATCGCATGCTCATTAGCAAGTGAGACGTCACTCTCCAGTTTGCCAAATGCTCATCTCCAGGCTTCAAAACAGGACTTCAGAAACCAGTGTGAGACATCACGGTAGCTACGTCCATCTTTTATACCGCCTGTGACGTGAGCAAAATAAACTGGCAGGTTTGTGTCATTATGATTTAATGATTCATATCTATTTTGCTGAAACATTGAGATTCATGCTGGAGTGTTGCTGTTGGTGCAAACTCACTCATACAGTAGAACTGGTTCATTTCAGGTAGACGTGTAAAATTTATAAAGTCATCGTTCTGTTTTGTTTATTTGTTACAGCAAGGTCACGGTCTATCTGTCACTCTCTTAGGTAAGCCTGTCAAGTTCTGGTCAGTTGGATGTATGTGTACTTGCTTCTCAAAATTGATCTGTATCTGGATCATGGTCACGTTAAACAAGTTGCTGTGATTCAATTAAATGCATTATGTTATTTGATATGTACACCCTATGTTGAGCTTCTGATGTGGGTGTTAGCCTGATGGCTCAGGTTCTCTTCCTCCATGTTTGGCACCTTATCCATGTCTTTTACGTTCTCTCACATTCCTCCTTCATATTTCCTCCTCAGGGTCAGAGCTGTGGTTGCTCATCTGTGACAGACAAACAGGCAGACAGACAGTGGGAGGGAAACAAAGAAGGCGTTTCATTAACTGCCAGCTCAGAATGACTCAGGAAAATTTTGTTATGCCAGTATACGCTGATTTCAAGAAGCAAAGTCTTGCTTAATGTCCAAGCCACTCATAAGACTGAAATATGTGGGCTTCTTGCCTGTATGACTTTCAAGTAAAAACAATGTTTTCTAAAAAAATAATAACAATTATACAACATTACTCCCCATCCATATTCACAAAATGTAGCCCTAACAGAGACCCAAATAATGTTCCAGGCAAAATATTAAACTTTTTTTGGTCATAGCATCTGTATCCCCTTAAACTAGCATATGCTTCATAAACATCATTTACCGTGTGGTGGTCATCGTCAGGCTCTCTCAGGTCAGGGCTCTCCTTGTGAATTCGATGGCGGGAACTAGGAGGGGAGAGGGAGGAAAGGGAGTGCTCTGGGCTGCTGGGTGATGCAGCATATGGTGAGCCAACTGGACTATCCTCTCTCAGTGGAGACCCTAAAAAAAAAAAAGAAAAAGAATAAACATATGTACACACGACATTCGCAGTTTTATTTGAGATTAATTGCTGTTCGCACAGCGTATTGAAGAAAATTCGTGTTCTCTGATTTTATACTAGATGACAGGTAGAAAAATGAGTGGGAGTGACAAGATGAAGGACAGATGTGATGATAGCGAGAGGGAGATGAGAGACGGCAAGGCTAGACAGTGAGGGACAGGGGAATGAAGCAAAGCTGGAGATAAATTAATATAAAGATGAGAGCTATCTATCAGCCAAGGTCAATCAAAGTAGACAGGAGAGTTTTAACACAGACTTTTGCAGGTGCAAATCCACAGATAGTAAAATGAAGGTTGTCCAGGACTGTTTTTTTAGTCGAATGTTGTGATAATGGTTTCAAGGTTAAAGTACTGTCTTCACTCAACAACATTTAAGTGTAGCAGTGACTGAGGGGTTGGGAGCTCAGAGGAGGTTGAACTGCATCAAGTGAGAGGGAGTGGTGTAAACTCAGTGTTTCAGTTATGGTCGGTTTAATTAAGGCAGAGGCTAAAATAATTTCCTTAAGGAGGACAATAGAGCTTTGTCCTTTATTCCCTGAGACGTTTTTTCGTAGCCAGCTGCAGTGACCTGGAGATGTCCACATGAGGGCAGCAACAGCACTTCCTTCTGTGTGTAGCGATCGGCTGCCGTTCACAGTACTTGATTATTTGCGTTTGCAGAAGTCTCATCAGTCAGTTACTTCAACCACGCTGTTTGTTCAGCATGTTCCATAATTTGATCCCAACCATAAATCTATACACCTCTCCCCCGACAGCCTATATCTGCCTGGATTCAACTTTTTAAAAGATCCTGACTGGGGGAAAATAATTGATTTGTCAGGTAAAATAAGAGTGGCTCCATCCATGCAGTGCATTCCCATCCCCCAGTTTCCCTGCAGTACAGATCCTGAATCGTTTTGATTGGGGTTGTGACTGGAGGAGCTAATCAAGCAGGAATCTGAATGTGGCATATTGCCGGAGTCCTCCTTAAAATGATTCTGATGTGCAAATGGATTATCTATCATTCGATCTTACAGCCACTCGACTCCACTGTCTTTCTGAATGAGTGTCTCACCTTTGTGGTCATTCCTCTGTGTGTCCATCCTGTCAAGACTGTCAAGCAGCCCATCGATCTGTGTCTTTATCAGAGTCAGCTCCTTTTTAATCACCTGCAACTCCTCCATCCCCACTGCAAGGACAGCGAGAGCGAGAAAATGTAAGCGACATTAGGAAATTACACGACCTGGAAACACCTTTGGAAAGAATTCTGAATGTACTTCAGCTAGTGTGAGACCTCTTTGAGGACACTGGAGCAATATACAGTTAGGTCCATAAATATTTAGATGCATATATACATGTAATTTTGTCCCTGTACATCACCACAGTAAATTTTAAATGAATTAAGATGTGATTGAGATGCAGACATCATCAAATGCTGCATTTCCTCCTTCTATCAGCAGTCACATCATCAAAAAACAATAGTGATCCGGTTCCACAGCCATACATGCTGTATGCCATGCCGTAAAGTCGTAATGGACATACATGCAGTATGCTTCAGATCATGAAATGTTCCCTTTCTCCTCTGTACTTTTCTATTCCCATCATTCCAGTACAAGTTAATCATGGTTTATTCTGCCCAAAGAATTTCTGGACTGATGATAAAGACTTTTATTCTGCCTCTGAATCTACTGTTTGGTTCACTTCTATCAACATCTGTTTTG